CTCTGGGTGGGACGGCACCTGCCTCCCTCGTTGCTGCAAAGGGCCAGGGGGCTGGCGTCAGCGTTCGGCACGCACTGCTCCGGGCTGGGCTGTAGTTCCTGGCACCGCGATCCCCAGAATGAGTGGCTGGCCCTCGCGGGATGGACATGGTGCCGGTCACTGTCCGTGCTGGACGACTGGCCTTACCGCTTCCAGACCACCCTGTCCGTCCTTTTCCTAATTAATAATAGAACCAAGGGAGGGTTAATAACATCCACTTAAAAAGCAGGCACAGGGCCCTGGCCAGTGTGGCTCAGTGGATAGAGCATTGGCCTGTGGACCACAAGGTCCTGGGTTCGATTCCGGTCAAGGGCACGTACCTCAGTTGCAGGCTCCTCCCCTGCCTGGGCCCTGGTCAGAGTGTGTGCAGGAGGCAAGCAATGGATGTGTTTCTCTCACATCGATGTTTCTCTGTCTTTCCCTCTCTCGCCCCCGCTCTCTAATCAATGAAAGAATATCCTCAGATGAGGATTAACCAAAAAAAAAAAAAGCAGGCACAAGGCTCTGGCTGGGTTGCTCAGTGGTTGGAGCTTCAGCCCATGGACTGGGTTCGATTCCAGTCAAGGGCACAGACCTCGGTTGCAGCTCGATCCCTGGCCTGGTCTGGGCACGGGTGTGAGGCAACCAGTTTGTGTCACATCAGTGCGTCCCTGTCTCTACCCCCTTCCTCTCTCTGAAAATCAATGGACGACAATACCCTCGGGTGAGGGTCAACAACCACAGAAAGCAGGGGAGGCCCTGGCCGGGCGGCTCATCCCGTGCACAAAGGTCGCGGGTTCGATGCCCGGTCAGGGCACACGCCCAGGTTGCAGATTTGATCCCTGGTTGGGCGCGTATGGGAGGCAACTGGTCGATGTTTCTCTCTCACATCGACGTCTCCCTCCCTCCCTTCCTCCTCCTCCCTCTCTCTCTCCCTAAAATAAAAATATAAAAAACATCCTCGGGTGAGGATTATTGAAAAGGAGGTATAGGCCCCCCTTCCCTTTTCCGCGATAGACAGACCGCAGCTAGACCCTCCCTCCCATCCCCCCCAGTGCATGTGGTAAGCCGGGGGCAGGGGAAAGACGGCTGGCAGGGAGCACAGGGTACGTTGGACGTGAGACGCTGTGGCGAGTGCACCGCTGAGCTAGAGAATGGGGCTGGGGGAGCCCCCTTCCTGCCTGGTGATGGGGCATCTCTGCGGGGTAAACTGAGGCTGGAGCTGGCCCACACTGCGCTCCATGCGTGGCTCTCAGGAGGGCGTTCCCCCAGGGGACAGCCGGCAGCGGCTGGAGATGCTCTGGTTACCCTGCCCAGGGGCGGCCCGGGGGCTGAGCCCGGGATGCTGCTACAGGTCCCATATGCCCAGGACACGCCTCCCCCCCCCACCCCACACACGGAGTTAGTGCGAGGCGGGGCTTGGTCCCCCCCTGATGCGCCCAGCAGTGGTTCACCAGATCAGGAATGGAATGGGGTTCGAGGCAGTGCACCCAGAAGACGGCAGACGTAGACCCCTGAGGAGCCACGCCAGGGAAGCCGGAGTCAGCGGCAGCCTCCCCCTTGGGCAGTGACCACGGATGTGGGGCGTTGTGCCCGCGTCTGTCCGGCCGCATAGAGATCCTGGCGGACGCCGTGCAACACCCCGATTTCTCAGTCCGCGGCTGCGGCCCCCTCTGCCGTGAATCCTGTATGTCCAAGCGTGATCGTCCACGTGGGCCCAGGACACGGTTCTCACGGGCTCCTCCTTCCAGGTGCTGCAGCTGGAGAGGAGGGAGCGGCAGGGCCTGGACGGTGTGGAGTGACCCCGGCCTGGCCCCACGTGGAGGGCCCCTCGCCGCCAGGATCCCACGTGGGACGGCCGCCTCGCTGGTGACCTTGGCCGGTGACCTTGAGCAGGAGCCCAGCCTCTCCCTGCCCCGGGCAGGGAGAGCATCGAGTCCTGTTTCATGTTTCAGGGAGAGGCTGAAACATGATCAGTTAGTTCCTTAAGAAAAGGCTGAAATAAAGAGAAGGCGATTTCTAACCCTTGAAGCGAGCGCTTTCCCGGCCTCTCTGTCTGTGAGCTCCTGCGTGTCCTGAGGCCCGCGTGGACCAGGATGGGAGGGAGGAGGCCGGCAGGGTCCCGGACGGTGCTCCCCGCTGCTCACCCTCCTGCGCCCTCGCTCCTGACTCGGCACCGTCCCCGTTCTAAAGGGGCTCCGCTCCCTCACGTGTTCCTTGGCTGTCGTCATGTCCATCTGAGCACCTGAACCTGCCGGGGACACATGCCCGTCCTCCGGGCCCGCGGGACGGCTGACAGGCGTGGTGCTCAGGCCGCCGCACCTTCACTCCCCCCCGCCCCCCTCCTGCCTGAAATAAAACGCTGCCCAGCCTGCCAGCCATGACGCAGACACCGGCGCTGGGGAAAGGCAGGTGGTAAGGACACAGCGAAAACCCCGCTGTAATTACCCCGGATGAGGCAGAACTGCTAAAGGTGGGCGCCGCGCTCAGCACGGCCAGGGGTGAGCCTTTAGCGGTGAAGGATTGAAGACAGACAAGAGATGAAGTTGGGACCAGGTGGGACGCTGTCCTCTCAGATGGAGAGACAGCACCACGGCCTGCAAGCCGAGTCTGTATTTTAAAGCAGATCCCACGAGGCAAAGTAAGGGCGTGGCCAAGATGTTTAGAACGGTCTCGTGGGTTTCAAATCCACTCAGTCACATGCACCTGATCGAGCTTTGTTTTGGCAGCACTCGCTGCACCTCCCGCAGCCCCGACACAGCGAAAACCCCGCTGTAATTACCCCGGATGAGGCAGAACTGCTAAAGGTGGGCGCCGCGCTCAGCACGGCCAGGGGTGAGCCTTTAGCGGTGAAGGATTGAAGACAGACAAGAGATGAAGTTGGGACCAGGTGGGACGCTGTCCTATCTGATGGAGAGACGGCACCCCGGCCTGCAAGCCGAGTCTATTTTATAGCAGATTCCACGAGGCAAAGGGCGTGGCCAAGATGTTTAGAACGTTCTCGAGGGTTTCGAATCCACTCAGTCACATGCACCTGATCGAGCTTTGTTTTGGCAGCACTTGCTGCCCCTCCCGCAGCCCACATCACTCAGCCACCTGGGACCACAGGTTCGGACCATGAGGTCAAGCTCACAGCCACAGCCTTTGGCTATAATTGTGCTGGGAGGGCTTTGCCAGGAGAGGACCGGGCCCTCTCACTAGTCTGAGGCTTGAACCTGTCCAAACGCTGTAGCCGCTCTCCACAAAGGTGCCCTGGCCAGTGTGTTCAGTGGTTAGAACGTCTACCTGCAGACTGAAGGGTCCCGGGTTTGCTCCCCGGTCAAGGGCACGTACCTTGGTTGCAGCTCAAACCCTGGTACTGGTCGGGGGACGTGCAGGAGGCAACCAATCAATGTGTCTCTCCCCCCCCCCCCCCCCCCCGCCTTAAAGTCAATGGGAAAAAGTATCCTCAGGTGAAGATTAACCAAAAAAAGTAAATAAGTAAATATAAAAATCAATAAACTTTAAAAAGAGGGCGAGAAAGACTCTTTTCTCCCTGGAAGGAAGCAGCGGCCCCCGGGCACCCACAGGCGCCCTCCCTGGCACACGCCTCACCTGTGGCCGGGTGCCAGCTGCCCTCGGTCCCGTGGAGGGTGCACAGGAGAGAGAGGGGGGAACGGCCGCTGCGGGCCGGCGCCGATGAATCACTTCCCCGGAAGCCTTGGCTCCAAGTCGGCTCTAACCGGACGGCTCCTCCGTCTCACGATTCCGTGACCACAGAAGGGGAAGCGGGGAGCCCCCCGTTTCCTTCCACGCGAAGTGACACCCACAGCCCAGGGGGCTAGGCAGTCCGCACGTGGGGAGAGACGGCGGCCGCCAGGAAGGGGTCCCCATCTCTGCCGAGAGACACCCCAGCTTTCCAAGCGGGAACAAGGCCCACCCAGAGGCCGGGATGCGCCACGTTCCCAGGCCTGGGGGGGACCACGTCTCGTGCTGTGGAACCGAGGGGGGCCTGACTGCGTGGGACCTGGGGGGGGACAGCGTGGGACCGAGAAGGTGTGGTCACTCGAGCCAGTGGGCCCACCGCACAGCCGACAGTCGGGGCATCTGCGTCTCAGGGGTCACCCTCGGCCAGGCTGTGGGAAGAGCCCCAGTGGGACCCGGCGTTGCTGGTCTCGGTGATCGCGCACCCGGGGCCATGCCGTCACCGTGAGTGGCCGGAGAGGACAGGGGTGAGGTGGCAGCGCAACCCCATGGCCAGGGGAAGTGGCCGCGGGGGACACATTCCTGGGGCCCTTTCCGTCCCGAGACCCGGCTGCTCTTGGGAGGTTCTGAGGCCCTGAGTGTCCCGCGTCGTTTATGGGCCGTGAGAAGAGGCAGGTGTGGCCGCGGGGACCCGGGTGCCGGGCACTCACTGGCGGTG